CAGCTGTTCAAGAATGTCAGTGCCACGTGTCTGGAAATTTTGTTGAACTATGGTATGGGGCAGAATGACGGTACCACTACAAGAATTGAGGGAATGTTTTTCAATAGTGACAGGAACAGTATCGATATGGGAAAGACGAGAAAGCTCATGAGCCTGGGTAGCATTCTGTATGGTGATGATGCGCGTACCGCTCTTAAGAGCATGAAAAGAAATATCTTTACCAACATGGCGTAGGAGTGCCTTGCCAATACTGTGGTCAGAAAGATAGGCAGTAGAGGAAGTCGGTCGTAAAGTGAAGAATTTAGTCCATTGTGCAGTCTGAAACCGAGCGTGGAAAGGTAGTGAAGGACATGTCGATCTTTTCTGAGAAGAACGAGAAGGTGGAGAAGTATCATCAGCAGGTAATTGTCATTGGCGTTTAGGCGTGGGACCAGAGTTGGTCCGACGTGGAATGGGTCGGCGATTCGAAAATTGCCGCACCGTAGAGGGAGAGGCCCGAAGCATAGTCAGAGGAGAGCGAAGGTCAGATAAATCGAAGGAGTCAGTCGAGGCCTCAGTACCTGAAGCGGGTGAGGAAACAGCACCGGCAAGAGGTACAGAGGCATGAGAAGTGTCCGAAGAGTGGTCCAAAGGCGAGGCGGGGTCAGAATGGGTTGCGGTATCAAGAAGGGGCCCGGGGGTAGCAGGTTCATGGACTAGGGCTGCCATGGTTAGGTTACTTCTTTCTTTTTGTTTTTAAGAAAAAAAAAAGAAAAGAAAAATAAAAAGAATAAAAAAGGGGGGACTGGGGAGGGATAGTTCCTAGGAGGAATGAAAGGGCCAGAAATCTCCCTCCATGCCCAAGAGTACCTCAGCACCACAAGTAGCGCAGATGCAGCATGGAACCCGTGCCATACCCTACCCATCATGCCAGTAAACTGGCAATCCGGGATAGCAACCTCACATCTGCCGAGCTACCTCAGTGGACAAAAGAGAGGGCGGCTGGAAATCCGCCACAAAGCATACCTCTTTCGGCCACCACCCCCGGAATCCGAAAGGTGGCTTCCAGAGATACACCCGTCGCCCGAGAGACACCCACAGCCACCCTCCGGGATACCGGAGAGGGATCGGGACATCCCCAGGCAATCCAGATTCCACGGCAAACTACGCCACCACCAAGAACCTCAACGGAATGGGATGGACCCCGGTACCCTTTCCCCTACCTAGGAACTAGCGTGCCTGTGGAAAAAAAAAAAAAAAAAAAAAAAGGAAGGGCAAAAGTGAGGGGTGGGGAGGAGGAGGAGGAAAGGAAAAAAGGGGAGAATGGGGAGGATGGGATAGGGAACGGGGGATTGGGGGGTAATTAGGTTTGGTCTGAGGAAGGAAACCGACAGGTCTAATTCCTCAGACCAAGAGCCTCTTCACCACGCCAAGGAGCCCCCCCTTGAAGAGGGGCCCAATGGGAAACATGGTCAATTTTGTCCTGAATGGAGGCTGCTACCAGGCGACAGTCAGCACCTGTGTAAGCTATAGAAAAGTCATTCACATAAAGCAACGACCAAATATGCGATGGACGAAAGGACGGTAGGCCATTTATAGCCAAGAGAAGAAGGGTAGCACTGAGGACACAACTTTGTGGGATTCCCTTAGCCCGAACAAAGTCTGAGGAAAGCGAGGTGCCAACACGGACATGAAAATGTCATTCAGATAAGAAAGCAGCAAGGAAGGTCGGTAGATTACCATGGAGGCCTAAGAAGTGGGCCGGGGCTAAGATGTTAAACCTCCAAGTGGAGTCCTATGCCTTCTTGAGATCAAAATAGACTGCCAGGATTGAGTGTTTATTAGCAAAGGCATTTTGCACATACGTATCTAAGTGGAGCAATGGGTCTAAAGTAGAGTGACACTTGCAAAAGCCATATTGGTGAGAAGAAAGTTTATTGTGAGTCTCCAAATACCATATCAGATGTCTATTCACCAACTGTTTCATAACCTTGCAGACTACACTGGTCAGAGCAATGGGATGATAGTGAGAAGTATCAAGCCCTGAAGTGCCTGGCTTGCGAAATGGTAGTACAATGGAGAACCCCTCGTGTCCAAAATTGAAAAGACACAAAAGAACTGAAAGGGTTGTAGAATATAGATGCTGTAGCACACGGATATGAATATCATCAGGCCCAGCTGCCAATGACTGGCAAGCGGAAAGCATGCACTCTATCTCTAAGAGAGTAAAAGGTACATTATACGGCTCCATCCCATTAGAATAGAAATCCAAGGGTGATTGCTCCCCAGCAGACTTAGAAGCGAGAAACGAGGGAGAGGTGTGAAGCCCTTGGGAGACATGGACAAGATAGTTCCAGATTTCCATGGTAACTTCAAGAGGTTCTGCAACACTAACACTAGCAACCCACAAAATGGGAGCTGGGTCCAGAGCGTACTTGCCACACAACTTTCATACCTTCTTCCAAACCACACACACAGGAATAGTGGAGGTAACGGTAGAAACATAGTTTTGCCAACAAGTGTATTTAGTGGGAGAGCAAGTAGAGATCAGGGAGACTATGGAGGGAACCAAAGAGGCTTGAGAGGGGAGGGGAGGGGAGTATGAACCTGGAGAGATGCACTGGCAGGGACAGAAGAGACCTGCGAGGGAACAGGAGAGGAAGGAGGCTGGAGAAGTCTGGGGAAAACATAAGAGGGGACCACACAAGGGAGGTGAACCTCCACCCTTGTGTGAGAGTTAGGAAGGAGGTGAGAACTAGGCACCGAGGCCAAAAAGGAGAACTGTTGGGGGAATTGTAAGCACCAGAGGAATGCGAAGAGACTTGGGCTTAGGAGACAGGTTCAACTTCACAGGTGAGAAGGGCAAAGAAGGTACAGGTATGCAAGGCTTAGCAGACTTAGAAACTAGTGGGCAAGAAGATGAAGTAGAGGTAGGAAGAGGTAAGGAGGTAGGGGTTTCAGAGGGTAAAACCACAAAAGAATTAGAGACGGGGCCGAAGGAGCTGGTAGGTGGGGGGACCGCCGAGGTTGGAGGTCTCCTAGCTACTCGAGAATAAGGAACATGAGGAAGATTCCCCTGAAGATGGAGCAGAGAGGCAGCCATAGCGTAAGGCCTTTGCTCTCCTTAAGACAGTGGATTTCACGTTCATTAAGATAGCCTTGACATCAGTGGGAAAGAGATGGGTGAGTTTTGTTGCAATTAAAACAGGTGGGGGGAAGACTGCAAGATGTATCAGCATGATCCATGGCACTGCAGACCAGGCACTCTGCCACAGACCTGCAGTATTTAGCTGGATGTCTGAAGTGCCAACAATTATGACACTTTTGGGGCATAGGGACCACTTTATGGACCCCTAGGCGATGTCCTGTGATATAAATGGAGGACAGGAGTTCACGACAGTCACAGGTTAGGTGGGCAATGTTACTGGGAAAGCACCTTTCGCCTGCGAACGGGCAGGACATACATATCCACTTTGAGAATCGGAAGGTCCTGGAGGCCTAATCTCTAAAATATCACCACAAGACAGAAAAATCACACTGTACAATGGTACATGATAAGACCACCATACAAAAATTGAGAGTAGTATGCCTGTGAACTGTGATAGGAACAATGTCAACAGAAGTAAGATGGGAAAGATCATGAGCTTGGCCTGCATTCTGAACTGTAATGATGCGCACACCAATTTGAAGAGTGTGAAAGGATATATTTTGGCCAACATGTCATAAGAGAGCTTTACTGATACTGTGGTCTGAAAGATAATCAGTAGGATACGTCAGTTGCAAGGAAAAGAATTTGGTCCACTGTGTACTTGTAAACATGGTGTGTAAAGGAAGCGGAAGTCGTGTATGTCGTTTCTGGGTGGAATGAGCAGAAATCGAAGTGCCCGTCATCAGCAAATGGTCTGGAAAGCTCAGGAGTAGGACCACGGGTGGCCCAACTCGAGGTAGGTGGGCAATCCGAAAACTGTAGCACCGTATTTGGGAAAGCCGGACGCATAACTGAAGATGTGCAAGGGTCAGAGGCACTAGAAGAAATGGGCAAAGCCTTGCCACCTGGAGCAGGTGATGAATCATCACCAGGAGGAGGTACAGGGGTATGGGAAAAGGCTGGAGAATGGTCCAATAACAAAGCCTGATCAGAACAGGATGCAATAACAAAAAGGGGCCTGGGAGGAGGAGGGGGGTCACAGAACGAAGACTCCATGATGGTGGTACTTCTTTCTTATTATAAGAAAAAAAAAAGAAAGGAAAAAAATGAGGGCCAGCAGAGGGACAGTTACTAAAAGGCATGAGAAGGCCGCAAGTTATCATCCTGATCCAATAGGATCTTGACACCACCATGATCCAATAGGACCTTGACACCACCAGCAGCGCAGATGCAGCATGGACCCTGTGCCATACTCTACCCTTCATGCCAGTAAACCAGCGCTCCAGGATAGCAACCTCACATCCACTGAGCCACCTCAGTAGGCAAAAGAGGGCAGTTGGATACCTCCCATGAAGCATACCTCCGTTGGCTGCCACCTCCCAGAACCAACAGACAGCCTCTGGAGATACACCTGCCACCTGCACCCTCCACCTCCTGGAAATCTGGGAAGGAAGCAGGGCGCCTCCAGATGATCCAGATTCCACGGCAAATTACACCACTCCCGAGGGACTTCACGGAGTGGGATGAACCCTGGCACACCTCCCCCCATCTACAAGCCATAATGCCAGAGGGGAGGACCCCAGAGGGTATAAACAGGATGGGGAAAAGGGAGGGAGGGATGGAAGGGAGGGAGGGATGGGAGGGGAAAGGAAAGGGAGAAGGGGAGGATGGGATAGGAAAGGAGGGATTGGGGGTTATTAAGTTCAGTCTGAGGAAGACGACCAAAAGGTCCAATGCCTCAGACCAGTAGCCTCTTTACCATAACAAGGAGCCCCTACCCCTTAAAGAGGAAAGGGTTGAATGAGTCTTCCCTCCCCCCCCCTTCAAATAACATGCAAAAAATATTCTATTTTATACATTAATATGGAACACAGTATTTTATTAAAGTTTATTTATTGAAAGAAAAACATACAAAATATTTTGATTCATAACACAGATATGTGATATGATTAAAACCACAACATATAGCTCATTCACTCATACATAAACATTCTCACAGATCTAGACTACATAAATCACACTTGAAATTGCACTAATTTATACAAATACAGTATACAGTAAAATGCAATGTGACAAAACTATGGATTTCACCATGTCCTATGGTACAGTTTTCTAAAAATCCACACTTTGAAAAGTTCCAGCAGTTATAAACACAGTTTATTTAATAAATTTGATTATTCTATCCACATATATACAGTAATTAGCTTTGCCACTGATAAGAATGTGGAACCAGATATTTTGATAAAGTTGCTAAAGGGAAATCCATAGAATGTGTTTCTAGTACATTTAAAATATTTTAAACCATTTCACTTACAGTTTCCTGAGTTTATAAGGTGATAGCGGGTTTAATGCACTAATAAAAAAATTTTAAAAACATGGTTAAGTTTGAAAACTGTTCTTTTTCAGGTTAAAGAAACCTAAGATTTAGCATATATTCAACTGGTCGAACCTTATACTGTATCTTACAGTCGATCTGGTCGAACCTTGTACTGTATCTTACAGTCGATCTGAACACTACAGCTGTAAGTTGCATCCACATTTCCATAACATTACATAAAAATTAACTGCAAGAAATCATGGTCATTTCACTGTTACATTTGCAATAATGTTTACTCATGTCTGTCAAGATTCACTAGTGTCTTACTCAAGCTAGGAGTGTTAGTAGATAGTGTTCATTTATTATACCATGGGACAATAACCTACCCTGATGACTCCTAACATGGAACACATTAGCCAGAACTGACTCATCAATCTAAAGTTGTGAAAAATTTACTCCGTTCTACAACATATTTCTTGAGTGAAATAAATTTTTGTGACTTCACTGCTACTGTAGTTCTAGTTACGGAAAATGGTCACCTATAATACCTTTACTGAGAAAGTTTTGGTCCTAGCCAACTGATTACTTCAAATATCACTTCAATTGCATGTATTCAAAGTGATCAAGATCGAAGGATTTTGATCAATTAATTTTCAGTAAAAGTGCCCAAAGTGAATACATTCATGTCACTTTCCTTCAAGGTGTCGGCAGTCATCTGCCTTCCCACCACAATTCTGGTTAGCTTTTACCTTTTTTTAGCATCACACACGTTTTAAATAGTCAGAGCTAAACAACCACTGCAGTATATGGTTATTGAAATCAATTTACAGTGTATCAGCTGAGATGAAACCGCATTAAGATTATTTACTGTTCCAAACCAGAATAAATAAAACAAAACACAAATATGCCATTTCATCATTATCCTCCAGTCCTAAATAAGTCTGTGTAATGCAGTGAATGTGTCATCGAGACGAGTTGCAGACATGAAAGATTTAGTTTCTCATTAATCTCTTCATATTGACCACTCGCGTCCTCAGTAAAATAACAATATGGCAATATGTATAAAACTAACTTTATCATGATACTAAATGAGCATTCATGACTTGGTCAACACATCAAATGTTCATTATTTAATGTATTAGTTGAAGTTTGTTACAAAGGTCAACTAATTCACGGAAAAAAACTATACAAATGCACGTAATACTCGGTCAAAAAATTAACATTACCAAAAAAGTGCCTTTTTCAAGCCTATTATACATTTCAATGTCAGCAGTGACGAAGAAGAAGGAAAGTAGAAATTGGCAACATATGATAAAGGAAGGAAATTACAGCTCTGGGTGAAACTCAGAAAAATCACAAAACACCTTAAATTATATTGCAGTTACCGTGTGTATAAACCTCACAAGTTAGTAATATGTCATTATTCACTGACAGGGTTAAGTCTTTTTTAATGTGGTAAAGCAAAACTGTGGTAATGTTGAATTGCAATGTTAAGCTGCTAATGTACCCTGATTATCTTAATCATATTATCTGTAGATAAAAGTTAAAAACAAGTGAGAAAATCTAAATATGTGGATATAGGATAGCATTTAGAGACCATTTTTTTTCACTGTAAAGCCTGACTTCATGAAATAGCCAAGTTGTGACAGAAAATTTGGTTTAAATTTACATGATCACGCTGACCATACCAAAAGCTTGTGAATGATGGCCAGAAAGAGACCAGAGAAGAAGATAAAGAGGAGAGGATGATGGTGGAGTGTGGCGCATCCCGCAGCATAGTAGAGTACTCCACGGTACCGTATGTTGGGAACAACGTGCTCTGAAACAGAAAAGAAAATATATATATATATATATATATATATATATATAGGTAGTAGGTTGGTAGACAGCAACCGCCCAGGGAGGTACTACCGTCCTGCCAAGTGAGTGTAAAACGAAAGCCTGTAATTGTTTTACATGATGGTAGGATTGCTGGTGTCCTTTTTTCTGTCTCATGAACATGCAAGATTTCAGGTACGTCTTGCTACTTCTACTTACACTTAGGTCACACTACACATACATGTACAAGCACATATATACACACCCCTCTGGGTTTTCTTCTATTTTCTTTCTAGTTCTTATTCTTGTTTATTTCCTCTTATCTCCATGGGGAAGTGGAACAGAATTCTTCCTCCGTAAGCCATGCGTGTTGTAAGAGGCAACTAAAATGCCGGGAGCAAGGGGCTAGTAACCTCTTCTCCTGTAATATATTTACTAAATGTAAAAGGAGAAACTTTCGTTTTTCCTTTTGGGCCACCCCGCCTCGTGGGATAACGGCCGGTGTGTTGAAAGAAAGAAAGATATATATATATATATATATATATATATATATATATATATATATATATATATATATATATATATATATATATATATATATATATATATATATGGTGGGAAGTAATTTCTTCAAATAATTTTTTGTTCTTACATGTTGTAAGAGGTCGTAGATGGTCACGGGTTTTAAAATGCTTTGTTTTATATATATATATATATATATATATATATATATATATTATATATATATATATATATATATAATATATATATATATATATATATATATATATATATGTCGTGCTGAATATGTAAAACTGGTCAATTAGCAAGAACTCATTTAAAATTAAGTCCTTTCTAAAATTTTCTCTTACACGTTTAAAGATATATTTTTTCCATTAATGTTAATGTAAAAAGTTTTAATTTTGCACCAAAATTATCTTAGAAAACTTACCTAACCTTATTATAACAAACGCAATTTATTTTAACCTAACCCAACTAAATATATCTTAGGTTTGTTTACAATAATTTAATATTAAACAAACACAGTGAAACATATTTTTTTTCGTTAGGTTCAGAATGATTTTGGCGAAATTATTGCATACACAAATTTTCACTTGTCCTATATGGCAAGATGAGCGTTACTATTTAAGCCAAGATGGCAAGTTCTGTCTATTCGGCATGACATTATATATATATATATATTATAATATATATATATATATATATATATATATATATATATATATATATATTATATATATATATATATATATATATATGTATGTATGTAGTGCCGAATAAGTAAAACTTGCTATTTTGGCTTAAATAGCAACGAACTTATTGCCGAATAAGCAAGCGAAAATTTGCGTATGCAATAATTTCACAAAAAATCACTCTGAACCTAACGGAAAAAATTTATTTCATTGTGTTTGTTTATTTTTTAACAGTCTAGATTTGAGTGCACTAAGTCTGCCTTTTCTATCAAACACTTCTTTCTTTGTACATATCCTTCCTCAGAATCCATAGATCACATGAATACAGATTGACTGATCAATTTTATCACTTTTATTGTACATTCCCATTGTTGAGCCTCATTCTATGAATTGTGTTATATCATACCTTGTAATGCTTTACAATAAGTTCCATTCCATTAACATTCATTCCAATAATATCCTTACGTATGTTGTAATGTTCAACTGTTGTATACTTTTACATTGTATAGAATCAGCCCCAAGCCGTATGCCTGTCGCCTCTAGTTTGTATTGGCTGTATGTCGGGATGCCATACTTTAGCATCGTCGAGCTCTCAGTAGTATCACTTACCAGTAGTATCAGTTACCAGTAGTGTCAGTAGTAATGACTCATCCAACTGTTACTGATTCACTGCCTCCTACGTGAATCACTGACTTATATCACTGACCGTTACTGCCGACCTATGATTTGAATGCCGCTCGCCCTCCGAGGCGCTCAGCAAGCCAGTTCAAGTAGAGACGTTAAGGCAGACGGCAGGTCAGGCTTGGCACTCCCCATATATTTTATCTAAGAGATGTACTGCAACATCCGACGTGAGTGTTTATTACCCAATCCATGTTCAAACCCCACAAGACATTTTATTTATATTTATATATATATATATATATATATATATATATATATATATATATATATAATATATATATATATATATATATATGCAAAAAAAGCTGCATGGGGCTGGAAATCTTTAGCTTCAGATCTTTCACACTCTCGTGCATTGTCAGGACCAAGGCAATGATGCCAGACTAGCAGCAGATAGGAGGGGAAATTCTCTGAGACAAGGCACAAGGTATCAGTGGCAGTTCGTGCCACAGTTTTTCCTTTGTTTCATTATATGAAAAGTTCTGTATGTTCATTTCAAAGCCAACAGCAGATCTTACTACATATTTGATTTCTTCCATATACTCTTGAAGGTACACACTGATAACTTTCTTGGCAATGAATTGAAGCTACTACTCCCTTTCCTTGGATCAATACTCACTATGTAGGATATATCAGAAAGGAGGAACACTGCAGCAGGCCTATTGGCCTATACTAAGCATTTCCTTTTCAAACAAAAACCCACTAACAAAAATATCTGCCCAACTCTGTGCCTCAAGGCAGCTAATGCACACATTGTCTCTGTACTGCTATGTCTCACAGATATATATTACACTGTATTAACAAATAAACTGTCGTTCCCGATTAAATCCAGGTAGCGTATTTTATATGGGAAATGATGTTACCATCCTAGTTAACTCTACAAAACTTACAACTTTAGAATATGTTATCTTGAAACGTTAATATTTAAAAAAAAAGTCAACATCTACATTAATTTTATCGTACATATACATAAGGCTCAAACCCAGCTGCTTGCCATCCTCCAGTCACTGTGCAGGTCTCACGGGCGCTCCACCGTCAATACAGTAAATTGTACTGGAGTCCCTGGATGCCAACTTTCAGAGTTTTCTGTATTCAAATATTCGGTAAGGCGATAACTTATTGGTAAAGAGAAACAGATGTTTGTGACTTGATAAAGCTCCACTGTATGGGCGAAACGTCGTCAATAAACGGCTCATAAAACAGTATTTGTCTCTCTTTACCATCATCTGGGTATTTCATGACACTGCCTACCATCTTTACAATCGTGTGGTTATCTCATACATTACCTACCCGTAATGACTTTTTTAAAGGGTTTAAATACTCACTCTCAACTAAGAACTATAGAGGACTAAGCTTAAGGGGCACGTCAGTTCCACACTCTTCAAATAATGTTATTTTTTCCCTGCAATCTACCTTGTCCATAATTACTATCGCATTTGCTTTCTTAATTCATGGTATAACTTAACAAATCTTTGAGGACAATTGCCCTCAAAGATTTATTAAGTTATGCCATGAATTAAGGAAAGATCCTGGACTTCACCTTATAAAAGCAGACAAAGCAAATGCAATAGTAATTATGGACAAGGTAAATTATAGTGGAAAAACAAATATGATATTAGGAGACAGGGAAACTCAGGCGCCTCTTAAAGTTAATACATTCTTTATGCTTAATTTAAGGTGCCATGCATTACATGCTATTGATAAACAAAGAGAAACTAAGGAGACATAAAACATTAAATACATTTTGGCCACTGGTTCTGTTTGTGCTACCTCTTTAGTTCCTGAGGAAGATAGCAGCAGGAGGGGAACAGAGCCAGGATGGAAGGCGTGGGGCGTGTGGGCGGAGGTAGGTGAAGTGCCACAGCAGGGGGGACACGGGCGTGGTGTCTCTAAACGGGCAGAGATACAGTCAAGATAGGCAAGGTGGAGATTATGTTAGCAATGTCGCAATGGCTGCTAAATACACAAAAAATCTCGTATTTTACAGATTTTGCAACCATTCTCGATAAAAGGTTTAAGAGTGGCTTCCGTTGCTTGCAATATTTTGGTGTGGCTGAGAAAAGGTAGGTGTTTACCGGCAGTGAGGGATAAAGGCACATTCACAGCCAAACTTTCTGAAGAATAGTTTCTCCACGAGTGATTCTTAGTGTGGAGAGAGAGTTCTTCAAGTTGTAACCAGTGTGTTTTCCCTTTCCCCACCGTTTGTGTTGAGGCAGAGTCACCACAACACCAGTAAGGTAATGTGTGCGGCAAACACTAAATTTTAACCATATGAAAATGACAAGGAGCAAAAAAAAGGTATTGTTTTCTGACAAAAAAAATAACATTTTTTTTTTTTGCATATTTTAATAAAAATGTTCAAATTTACCATCTTTTACTCTTTCCTTGCTAACCATCATTCTTTTTGTTTAATAACCTATAAGGGGAAAGGGCTGAGCTTAAAACTGTAACAGTACACAAAGGGGAACTAAGACTTTTATTTTTTTGATGTATTTTGTGAGTTTTTACGGTATCTTTAAAAAAAAGAAGAAAATACTCCCAAACAAGAAAAGAAGGATTAAAAAGCTTACTTATCGCTGTAAAAATTTGTTTTTTTTGACTCTTATGTGGAGCTGCTTGAAGTGGTAAAGAGCATTGTCTAACGAATTAAAGTTCCCTTCCTTGGATCAAACATGATAATTCCCAACCCACTGCAGCTAAATGACTTCAAAGGTTTATTGCTTTTCCAAGAAAAGGTCTATATGACAAACCACAACAATCTAAAATTCTTAAAAAGGATTGTTTTTACTTAAAATTTTTATTTTTTAGACTTTTTCGAATTTGTAGTCCTAGTTCAAAATGGGAAAAATTCCCCAAAAATTTTTTTAAATAGGTAAAGATTTAAAAACCCAAGAAATGTAATTTATAAATCTTTTAAAGTCTAGAAACACTTTTTATAATCCCCAAAAAGGGGCAACCAGCCTTATTCAAATAAAAATATGTTGGTTTTCCCTTACCAGAAAACTTGGTTGATATGCCTTCTCTTCTTAAGACTTTTTAATATTAAATTGTATTCAAAAACTGGGTACAGTAAAAAATTTTTATAAAGAATTCCCCCCAAAAA